ACAGGAGTGACCCGAGCAGATACTCAGACACCCTGCGAGCCTGACTGGTGCTGACAGACAAACAGATGGGCCCACATTTTTAAATCGGTGCGTGCACTACTCACTGAGAGGCGTGAACCTCGGGGCAGCATCACGCCAGCGATGTACGCATTTTAGAAATGCAAGAGAAGATGCCAGAAGTTCAGCCTGATGGGGAGGAGAAAGCTTTCTTTCTGTCCCCACGCCAATCTGCCCTTGGGCATGAAAAAGCTTCCCCATCAAAGTTCTCACCGGTGGGCCTCACCTGGGCTTTTTCAGGCAGGTCACTGGGGTGACCAGCAGGCACCGCAGGGGGCACTTGGCACCTGTTGGTTCCCCTTTCCTCCTCCTGGCTGATGTGGGATGGACAGAATCGGGCAGCGGGCACTGCTAGGGCACGTGTTACAGCTTGGCATCTTACCACACTTGGCGGGCCTGGGCAAGTCCCGGGACCGCCTCTGGCCACCTGCTTCTCCATCTGTACAATGGGGAGAATATGAGTGCCTCCCATAGGGTCGCTGTGAGGCTTTAGTGCGGTTCTGCCATCAGGAGCCTCGCATGCCGGTTGTCCTCATAATTAGAGATGTAGACGCCTGAGTTAACGAGAGGACCACAATGCCTTTGAGGTTGGAGTGCATCTTTAACGGGGGATGGCATAGGAGGAAAGCCTCGCTTCTCAAGGGTCACCTCTTCATACCGGCTCCAGGTGGACAGGATTATTTGTCATCGGGGTGGGCAGTGACATAGCACTTCTCAGGCTGGAAATCACAGGGAGAGCCTGTTCGAATGCGCGTTCCAATGAAGCGGGCCTGGGCCGCGGCCCGGGAGTCTGCATTCCCATCAAGCTCCCAGATGTTCTCCGTGCTGCTGGTCGGGGGACCACACTGGAAGTCTCGAGAGCAAAGGTCAGAATCAGCCTAATGATTTATTCATGGGTGGGGGACACTCGGGCCCTTTTGTATGGTAACCGTACAAAGGGAAGAAACGCTTTATTGTCTTGTCGGGAGTCACAAGGAGGATTCGGGGGGATGCTGGAGATGTCTGGGATGTCTCTTTGTAACGTAGAATAATGAGAAAAAGCAGATGGCATCTTCTCAGTGGCTTGTCCTGAACCCTGGGCCATTGCGCTCGCTCTATCTCTTGGGATCGGCCTGGCCAGTAGCCAGCTGAACTGACTTCAGAAAAGACACGCTCATCGGCTGGCCAGCGGCCTAGGTGAAGAGCAGCGCCAGGCGGAGGAAGCCACGATGTTCTGTAAACACGGAGATACAAGCTCGTGCTCCACCGTGCCACCCCTGTGAGCTGGGCGCACACGTGTGCGTGCACACGCTCCTGACCTCTTGCTTCATTTTCCATGACACGGGATTTGGGGAAAATGTTCTCATCTGACCGGCAGATTAAAGGTTTGAACCAGAGGGTTGTTATCAGTGCTTAAAAAAAAAATGACACATTTAATTTTATTTATTTTTAAATAAATTTTGTATTGATTGCAGAGAGGAAGGGTAAGGGGGAGAGAGATAGAAACATCAAGGATGAGAGGGAATCATTGAAGGGCTGCCTTCCGCATGCCCCCTACTGGAGATGGAGCCCGCAACCCTGGCATGTTCCCTGAGTAGGAATCGAACAGTGACCTCCTGGTTCATAGGTCAGTGCTCGACCCCTGATCCACACTGGGCTCAGTGCTCTTGATCAGCTATTGTTAGAACCACCAAGCACCTTGGGATTAGAACAGCGGATCTCACCCTGTGGGTGGCGACCCCTTTGGCGCTCGAACAACCCTTTCACAGGGGTCAGCTAAGACCATCCTGCATATCAGATATTTACATTACGATTCATAACAGTAGCAACATGACAGTTATGAAGTAGCAACAAAAATAATTTTCTGGTTGGGTCACAACATGAGGAACTATATTTAAAGGGCCAGAAGGTTGAGAACCACTGGATTAGAAGGAAAAAATAATTCAGCCGGTCCTTTCTCCCCTTTCGAGTTCCATATAAATGTTGCCCCTCTCAGCCTCGGATCCAGGCTGAGAGCAGCAGTGCCTGGGATCGAGCTCCCCAGGGTCCCTTCCTGCTCGGGTCACCTGCCAGTCTCGTTCGGTCTGCACATTTGAGCAGAGGCACCGTCTGAAATGTGCAGGGTTCCAGTGCCATTTGGGGGGATGCGCCCGGGAAGCAGCCCGCCCCGTGTTTAATTTTTGTCATTTTTACCAAATGAATTGCAAGTGGCGTTTATTGGCGGGGCTAATGTACACTTGGAGTTGGTAGGAATTTTTAGACCCAGCCCTGTCCCCCCGGGGTTTTCGAGTGGAGGAGGCGCGGTATGTTGCCCAGCTCCGACGGGCTGACGCGTGGAAAGGCGTGGGTGTTTCAGCTGCTTGGATGGGCCCACCCGCTAATTCTTCTCACCTGTGAAAACATGACCGGCCTAATGGAGAGCAGCCCTTGCCTGGCGCTGGTGGCTCTAAGCTCAGCCCCAGAAGCCGGGCGGGGGGGTATTCAGTTAATAAATGTTAGCTTTAACCTAGTGGCCACCTTCTCCCTGGAGTTGCATTTGGTGTGTCATCGTGCGTTTGCGTTAGAGCAGCAGAAAGCCGGCCAGACGCCCGTGCGCGGTGACAGAGGCGGGTGGTCTGTTTGGGAAAATGCCTGCTGTGATTTCCGAGGGCTGTGGGTTCCAGCAGGCCCACCCTGGTGAGCGGGAGGGGCAGCTCCCCAAGGTGTTATGGAGGGCCTGGGGGGCAGCTGGGGTGCCCTCCCTGTTGGGGGCCTGGCTCCCATCACACCCCAGCAGGGTGTGACTTGATTCCTCACAGAATCGAATACAGTCTGTCCTGGGCTGATCCTGAAGGAAGTGCTCTGGACAGCGGGGGGTGGTCTCCCTGGCTCCTTGCATCCCCAGAGGTCCTTCACCCCCTGGATGTTGAGGGGTCAGGGCAGGGGCAATGAACCTGACAGCATGGGTCTGAGTGTGTTCGTGTGGCTGTCCTTGGTGATGTCTGCCGGCCTTGCGGAAGGCCCGTCTGAGGGTCTCCGACTTCTGTTGCTCATCCGGGGTGTCGGTGGGGGAAGCAGCACCATTTGAGGCCTAGGGTGGGGGTGAAGTGTGAGTGTCCGACACCTTAAGATGAAGGTGGCTTTCCGGACACGGTGAGGGGAGCGGGGTCCATAGGGAGGCTGTCTGGGGTCATTCTTCCCTCTACTCGACTCGCCTTTTCCACAGATGACCTAACGGATAATGCTTTCTGTTCCCAGGTAAGCGGAGGTGATCAATTTCACAATGTGCCCAATACCTTTCGGGGGGGGGGAATTGAACCCCCTTTCCAGGCTGCCAGAGATACGGAGCAGCTTGAGTTCGCCTCGAGGAGCGGCTTAGCATTGTCTACGCCTTGAACATCAGCGTGGGTTTTGTTTACTGTCTCATCGTACAAGTTCTTTTCCAAGTGGCTCGTAGCTCAGCACAGGCTGTACCTGATTGCTGCCGTTTGGTACTCTTTGCCCCAGCTCTTTGGCTGACCGCTTTCCGGAAACAGTGCATAAAACTGTAGGTCATAATTGTTTTCGTAACATCTGGAGGGGAACTGGCTGCTGTTCCCCCGTGTCCTGTGCCCACACAGGCCCAAATGTGTCTTTTCTGTCTTCTTGACATGTCTTGCCTTTTCCTCCAGCAGGGACGGGCTCTGCGGGGGTCGGCCCCTTCCCAAGGCAGCTTTCGGTTCAAGATGAAGGACATACCGCTTCATTCTTGCCCTGGTTTGAGTTGGATGCATGTGTAATTCTACGCTATGCCGACGTCTTCCCTATGTCCCCGTAAATGTGCCTGTTGTGTATGGTGGGGAGGGAGAGGGGAACGCAGAAGAGAAATGGTATGGCTACGTATCTTATTTATTCATGTCATTATTTTTTAAGCCTAATACATCCGGGAGAGCGACCATATCATATTTACAATCTAATGAATGATCGTAAATTTGCGTGAACACTGCTCAGGTTGCAAAGTAGGATGTCATGAGCACACAGCAAGCCCCACCTCCCTCACTACAGCCCCCCCGCCCCCCGCTCCTCCCCCGAGGTAGCCATTATCCTGATCTCTAACACCACAGTTATACTTCAGCTACTTTGAACTTCAGGTGAACAGAGTCAGTGAGTACACTGTAGTCCCTGACACATTTTGCTCTGTGTTATAAGATTTATCCATGTGGCTGCGGTTGAATGATGTTCACGGATTTTCGTGGCTGTATAGAATTCTGTTGTACTTCTCTACCATAACTTATCCATTCTAGCACTGATGGACCTGCGGGTTTCTTCAATTATGGCCATTACATATTGAGCCGTGAACACGTTTGTACCTGTCTCCTGGTAGGCATGTGCCTGCATTTCCGTTGGGCATGTTCCTAGACATGGTATGACTGGGTCCTAGGCTAGGCACATGTTTGGCGTTATTAGAAACTGTTGAATTTTTCTCCGACGTGGCTGTAACAATTTACACTCCCACCAGCAGTGTAGGAGGGTTTCCGTTGCTCCAGCTCCTTGCCAGCACTTGGCATTTTCGGTCTTTTTGGTTTTAGCCTCCTCATAGGTGTGAAGTGGTAGCTCATTCGTTATTTCTCTGATAACAAATATAGTTGAGCACCTTTTAATGTGTTTATTGGCCAGTTGGTTATGGTCTTTCATCAAGTATCTATTCAAGTCTTTGGCCTATTATGGTATTAGATGCCTGTATTTTCCTTCTCAACTTGTACGAGTTCTTAATAGATTCTGGATAGGCATTGTTTGTTGGTTATATGTGTTTCCAACCAAACTTACACTCTAAATGTGCCTGGAGACAGTCCACCAGGTTCTCTGTGGGAGGCCCTCCCTCCTGGCCCCGCCAGCACAGTACGATGCTAGGTATGGTTTTCCCGTCAACCTTCAGACCGCCCGCCTGTGACTGGATATGAATTTAACCATCAGCCTCTCCTTTCTGGTCCTGGGTTGTGACAGAACGCCCTTTCTTCTTGATGTGCAGGATCCTTGTGGGTGCACCAAAGGCTGAGTCCAAGTACAGCACGTCAGTGAAGTCCCCGGGGGCTGTGTTTAAGTGCCGCATCCATACCAACCCTGACCGGAGATGCACTGAACTGGATATGGCTCGAGGTGGGTGCCACCCATGCCAAAGTGGAAATGGGCTCTGTACCCTCTTTCTTCCCAGGCGGCCTGGCCTTCCTTCCTTCCTTCCCCTTCCTTCCTTCCTTCCTTCCTTCCTTCCTTCCTTCCTTCCTTCCTTCCTTTTTTCTATCCATGTAGGGAGTACCTATTACTTTCTAGGCACCAGGATATACCAATAAAAAAACAAAGATCCTACCATCCTTACAGATTAGTGGGCCAAAGAGACATTAAAAAGCAAGACTTGAGAGCAAGAAGACCAGAGGGAAGGTGGTGTGTGATCGACACGTGATGGGAAAGATGCACAGCAGTCAGCTGGGCAGTGGGGAGGCAGAACCTCCAAGCAGAGGAGAGCATGTGCCATGTTCAGGTACAGAGCAGGGGGTGGTGTGGCTGGAGTGGAGCAGGAGAGAGTGGAGGCGGAGGAGCTCGGCAAGGTAGGCTGGGGCTGCTCGCACAGGGCCCAGCAGGCTGGGGGAAGGGGTTAGGGTGTTATCCTGTGTATGAAGGAGAGGCCATTGAAATCAATTTTAGGGTTTATGTTTTAAGCAGGGAAAGATATGATCAATGGATATTTTTAAAAGCTCACTTGGATCCGGTAGAATCAGACGGATCAGCCTGGGTTCAGAGCTCAGCTCTGCCAGTTATTAGTTGGGACTTATTGGGAATGTTCCGTAGCCTCTTTGGCCTCAGTTTCCTCACTAGGACTAAGATACCTTCCTACCTCACAGTATTACCTTGAGATTGTGAGACAATAGAGGTGATACCCAGAATTGTACTTGGCACACAGTAGGCACTCAGTAAGTAAGAGTTATCTATACTAATAAAAGGGTAGTATGCTAATTAGACTGGACATCTTCTGGACGTCCTTCTGGACAAAGCCACGGTGGCGGGGGCTGAGACAGAGCCAGTTAGGGGCAATGAGGCCGGCAGGGGAGGGCAGTTAGGGATGATCAGGCCGGCAGGGGAGAAGTTAGGGGGTGATCAGGCAGGCAGGGGAGCAGTTAGGGGGTGATCAGGCCTGCAGGGGACCAGTTAGGGGATCAGGCCA